CAAGATATGTTATACGATTTTTTAATAGTGAAGAAAAAAAACAACGAACACTAGCATGAAAACTTTTAAATTTAAATTAGCTTGAGAAATAAACAGCAAACCTAGGTATACAGTTAACATAAAAGGAATTTGATTGGATGTGCAAAACATTATTTGTAACAAAAGTTGTTACAGGACAAATCAATTTACAATTTTAACTATCTTCACATAAAAAAATTAATGTTAGTAAATTGTTTTTTAAATATTGCGACAATTCATCACAGTTTTCATTTTTGATAGAAGACAACACTTCAGTAGTGGACCTTGGTTTTAAAGGTTGAGTCGGTACCACACTAGCTGACGTGTTTGAAAAAATTGAAGGAGGTTCAATTAGTCAAACTTTCCCATTGACAATAGTTGTTAAAAAACTTTCTGGAAAATATCTTTCACAGGCAACAGTATATGGTTTATTTAGAAAATTACTTCTTGGAATTAAATTTATCCAACAATTTCTTTCTTCTTCATTGGAGGGAAGCCTAAAAACTCGTACTTTGTTTTTAGCTTCTTAGTTGCCTCTACAATTAGGAACAAAGCACTTTTTAACCTTTTATTGTAACAATCAACTACTCACAAATCAAACTTTAAAAAACTTTTCCTAAGATTGTCCGTCCCCAGTCAAAAGTACGGATTCGCGACGGGAAGGCCTGTATCAAGTATCACCATGGCACAGGTGCGTTTTGCAAACGTTTTGTAAACGTTTTATGGTCACTTGAAGGACGTATGTGTAAGAAAAACGTTCAAAAAAAGTTTTGATAGATTTTGATCTATCATTTAAAAAAAAGTCTTTTCCAAGCCTAAAACAGCGCAATGCGCATGTGCAACTTTACTTAAATATGGCGCATTTTCATATTTATACGTGGGCTATTTCCTGAGATCAACTCCCTGTTTTGATTGGTTGAAAAGTTTAATTAATTATGTCCTTTCTTTTAACCCGTTTGCCATTATATTAGTGACTTCTATGTGCATTACACTGAATGTCTTGGCTCTAAAACCCCTGATCTTTGTGGCATTAAAGTCCATTACGTCTGTATTTCTAAATCACTAAGACATAACTTTGTGACTTGTTTTGCTGACTACCGTAATCAGTTATCTTCACTAATTTATTTGTCTCTTGTTTCTGACCATAAGTTGTGTTCAGTTTCTTTTTTTTTATCCTTAGAAGGTTCCAAATACACAATAATCTTTATTTAGTTTTTTTTAATAAGTATTTCATCTTGTACTTTTTCTTCGGATTCACCTTATCACCTCACTACTTACAACTACCCTAAAACTGTCTGGGATGATACCTGATAAATGAGCCTCCTATGTATCCTCCCGAATCAAGGCGGGGATGAAAGCTTTTATTCCATCTCTTTGATTCAAAGTCGAGCATCATTTCATTCCTTTTGTTTTCACCTTCTTGAGCAACTGCTGCATTTAATAGCAGTTGCTCAAGAAGGTGAAAACAAAATAGTCTTCAAATGTTTTTCTTGAAAACCACTTTTGCGCATTTTTTCCGGACCATTCGTAACAGTTTCACAAGTTGTTGATTTTAGAAGTTCATGCTTGTAAACGTTTCTAAAGTTTTGTAATTTTTCTAAATTCAATTACATTTTGGGATTTATTTTAATTATTTTTTAATTATGTTTATATTTATGTTTTTAAAATAAAATATGTAAAATATAAAAACATTGTAAGGTTAAACTATTATAAAATAGTTTGCAATTAAAAGTAATAACGTTTTTCTTGTTCTTTTTCTTATAGATTATTTAACAATTATTCATATTATTATTTATTTATGTAATTTACAACACATATACTAAATCCTGTTCGAGTGTAGAATTATTACAACTACTAATACTTAAATTGAATAATATCTCGACTTAATTAAATCATTTCTGAAAGAATCTTTAGCAGTTTAAACGATGAAAACTTGTAAAAATACCAGCAGCTTGATTAGTTGAGTAACTACTACCAAGATCAACGCCGTTTTTTTTAATTAGCTCAAGCAAATCACGGAAATTAGAAAATGGACGTTCTTTTTTTGCCATGTAGTAAACTGCATTGAATTTCTTCTTAAGTGAGTCACGATGTTTTTCACCCATTTTTCGTAGTAATATCTTTTATAATATCAGTATTTTTATTTATATATTCTTTAAAACTTTTCGCAACCGATTTACATCGATAATCGATGAAATGTGCTTCTTTAAATTGTTTACTGTTGCAATGACTTCTTACGCTGTCTTTTTTAACTGACGGAGTTCCAGGGCAAGTCAACGAAATAGAAAATTTGTTAATGTTTTTAAAGCGAGATTCATATTGCTTGCAAAGCAAGCAGCGTAATCTTACAACATCATTTCCCTCGATATCATACTCAAACTTTAAATTAAATTCTTTTTTCTCATTTCAAAACAGTGTTTAATTTACATTGGTTATCTTTAGTTTTTGGTAAGAAAAATGATGCTATAATTTTAAATATTTAGTTCACTTTATCTACTACGCCTTTAATTTAATTTGTTTTAAACTCTTAATTTAAAAAGTTTTTAAACGTTTTTAATTTGCTCAAAGTTATTGTAAATTGGAACGTTATTTTGCAAATTAAAGCCATTAAATTTTTGAAGCCATAGGTATGAAATAGTTTCTTTTTATATTCAACCCTTTATAAACATCATTAATGTTTTGCAGACATATAATAACTAACCGCCACTGACAATAATAAATAATGCCACGCTGAATTATTCTTACAGTATTATGCATTATAAGCGTTATAAACAACATTATACTTTTTTTTTTTTTTTTAATATATCTTGTTTTTTGGTATCGAGTTTTTCATTACAACTATAGTTTTTTTAAATTTCTATTTTTAATTATTATTAATATTTTAAATTATATTATATTCACTGGCATAAATATACAACACGGCCGCCATGCCCATGGACGTAGAGGAGGGGGTCAGGGGAATATTGTTCCGATACCCGGTTTTGTTTAAGGGCCCGTAAGAAAAAAAAACGAGAAAAAAAATTTGAGCAAATTTAGCATTACATTGGTGCGTATTTTCAGCCAAAGTGGGGCCCACAAAAAATTGTTAATACTTTTGAACCCCTACTTTTTGAGCCACCATGCCCCCCCCCATTGCCGATGTGTAATTTTATTCCTAGAATAACTAATTTTTTGGAGCATTTATTTTTTATTCTGCAGAGCCGTAACTACAATTTTTATATTAGGGGGCCCATATTACATATTAAAGACCTTTTTTTTTTTTTTTTGGAGAGGTCCAAACATAGCAGGAGAAAAACCCTAAAATATATATTCTTTTTCCTGATAATTATAGTTTAATAATTTTTTTTTAGAAGGGGCTTAGATCCCCCCTCCCCCTCTCGTTTCCTCGGCGGTTGCGGCTTTATTTTTAGCCGAGTTTGGACGCTGAAATTTAAATATTCCTAAATAAGTTGGATTCTAACAGTGAAAAAAGCAAGTGGCACATTTAAAAATAAATACCTGAAGACGTTAATGAGTTTAAAATATTTATTAAAATAATCACCAGAAAACATTAAAATGTTTTAATTGAAAAAATACATTAAAAATAGAGCCATTTCTAGGCTGCCTAAATGGGTCCATTAACCCGGTAAGAGAGAATGCAGCAAAATTAGGGATCCTTTTTCAAGGTTCAGAGGGCCCTTTACTAAATTTGAGAATCTTTTTTTTTATCTAATAATCGAATCTTTTTAAAATTTTAGGGCCGTAACGACAGTTTGAAGAAGTGCTCTGCCTCCTATGCTACTACAATGATTATAAGAAGAAGGGTTTTTAAAAAAGAAAAATTTCTTTATATTTTTATGATGAAAAAGTTTTAACATAAAATAAAATATTTTAGAAAGGAATATAAAATCAGAGATTACAATCTACTAAGTCTTTTTCTAAAAACTTAGTTAGATTGTAATCTCTGATTTTATATTCCTTTCTAGTTTCAAGTTTCTAAATAAAAGCGCCTATATTTTAAAATCAACCAATAAAAAAATTATCAGTTTTAAGTTGCCGCATGTTTTCCTATATTTGTGAACATTTTAGAAGTTCGTAGTGTGATTAGGTTGGTGGTTTGATGTAGCTTCAATCATCAAAGCTGCATACATAAATATCAACTTTATCAAATTTCGATGTAATTAATACTACATCAAATTTTTATTTCCATAAACTTTGGCCCTATAATTTGAAGTCTATTTATTATTGTAAACATCAATGTAAAAAGATGAAGTCTGATGCCTAGCTCAATTGTTTCCAGATACTAATCTCGTATCTGACCTTAGACGAGACTTTAAAATAATCTTCAACAGTAAATCGTGTGCCAGAGGTTAGAAAAACCCCTTGAAACTAATTTTTTTGTTAAAGTAATTTCCTTTTACAATTATTAGGTTTTCTTTATTTCTGTTTCTTAAATACTGGCTGTAAACTTTTTTTATTTACGATGTTTTTATATCTCTAAAAATCCATGGGTATTGTAGGTATTTTACTTTTATTTGTTGTTCTATAATTTGGATTATTAAATTGTTTTAAAAATATTTAAAAAAAACTTATTATTAGCACAGATGTTATGGGTATTATTGCATTCTAGATAATAAAGGTATTTAACATTAAATCATTAAAAACCTTTTATTATTTACCATAAATAACATATAATATCTCCGTATAAAAAGACATATCAAAATCCATCTATTGAACTTCTATTATATGGTTTATTGTAATCCTTCTATTATTTATTGTAAGCAACAAAAGTTCATAAAATGACAAACTCATCTTTTAGATAATGTTTTTTGTATATACATTTTTTTAAGATGTTTTTCTGGATACTCTTTGTTTGAGATATTTCAACAAAAAGGAGAATTACATTTTAATTCGCCTTTTTAATAAAACATCTCAAACAAAGAGTATCTAAAAAACATCGGCTTAATGATGTC